CTGTGTGCAAAGCCGAGGCGGGGGGGGGGGGGGGGCAGCCCTTGAGCTTTCTCTCGGGCCTCCTGAAATGGAAATTCTTCCCAGCATCCGAGGAGGGAGCCCGGATGTCAGCTAGTGCCGTGACTGGCACAGAGGGCCCTGAGAAGGATGGCGGGGAGGAGGGGGAGGAGGAGGAGGAAGAGGTGGGGGAGGAGGGGGAGGAGGCGGGGGAGGGGGAGGAAGAGGAGGAGGAGGAGAGGACGAGGAGGAAGAAGAGGAGGAGGAGGAGCAGGAGGAGGAAGAGGGGAAGGGGAAGGGGAAGGGGAAGGGGGAGGGAGAGGAGGAGGATCAGGAGGGGGACAAGGAGGAAAAGAAGGAGGAGGAGGAGGACGGGGAGGACAAGGAGGAAGAGGAGAAGGAGGGACAGGAGGATGGGGAGGACGAGGAGGAGGAGGAGAGGATGAGGAGGAAGAAGAGGAGGAGTGGGAGGAGGAAGAGGGGAAGGGGGAGGGAGAGGAGGAGGAGGAGAGGATGAGGAGGAAGAAGAGGAGGAGGAGCAGGAGGAGGAAGAGGGGAAGGGGAAGGGGAAGGGGGAGGGAGAGGAGGAGGATCAGGAGGGGGACAAGGAGGAAAAGAAGGAGGAGGAGGACGGGGAGGACAAGGAGGAAGAGGAGAAGGAGGGACAGGAGGATGGGGAGGACGAGGAGGAGGAGAGGAGGAGGAGCAGGAGGAGGATCAGGAGGGGGACAAGGAGGAGAAGAAGGAGGAGCAGGAGGAGGAGGACGGGGAGGACAAGGAGGAAGAGGAGAAGGAGGGACAGGAGGATGGGGAGGACGAGGAGGAGGAGGAGAGGATGAGGAGGAAGAAGAGGAGGAGGAGTGGGAGGAGGAAGAGGGGAAGGGGGAGGGAGAGGAGGGGGACAAGGAGGAAAAGAAGGAGGAGGGGGAGGACGGGGAGGACAAGGAGGAAGAGGAGAAGGAGGGACAGGAGGATGGGGAGGACGAGGAGGAAGAGAGGAGGAGGAGCAGGAGGAGGATCAGGAGGGGGACGAGGAGGAGAAGAAGGAGGATGGGGAGGACGAGGAGAAGTAGGAGGAGTTGGAGGAGGAGGATGAGGAGAATAGCAAGAATGGGGAGGAAGAGGAGAAGGAGGAGGAGCAGCAGGAGGAAGAAGAGGGGAAGGGGGAAGGGGAGGAGGGGGAGGGAGAGGAGGAGGAGGAGGAAGATCAGGAGGGGGACGAGGAGAAGGAGGATGGGGAGGAAGAGGAGGAGAAGGAGAAGGAGGAGGAGCAGGAGGAGGGGTGGGGAGGAGGACCAGGCACGTGAGGGGAGGGCCAGCCCCTCCCAGGTTTCTCCAGGACGCGGTCCTCCTGCAGAGTGGCTGTCCGCTCCCCCCGGGCCCAGTGAGGCCCTGTCCGGATCGTGGCCTCTCCTTCCCTCTGCCTCGGCCGCTTCCCGCGGGTCACCTGCCCTGGGGGTCACCTGCCCCTCCTGTGCTGGCCTGTGTGGGTCGGGCCAGGGCCGCGTGAGTCAGGCCCTGAGAGCAGAGCCGGGACAGCCCGCGGGGGGCGGGGGGGCACCCGGGAGGCGCGTGCTGTCTGGGGCGGCGGTCGGGGATGACGCCAGTAATCCAGAGCCGCCCGTCCCGAGGGCCGCCTGTGGTCTGGCGGGCGGGTGGGCCGGGACCGGCGAGCCCATTGATGGTTCTGTCGTAAAGTCCCCAGCCAACATTTTTGGGGAGTTATTTGCTTTAATTAAAAAAAAATTAAAAAGTTCCCCTGAAGAGCCGCCGAGTGCAAGAGCTCCCCTGCGGCTTTGGGGTGCTGGGGTAGCCCCGGGCTCACCGCTGGGCCCCGAGGGAGGGTCTTGGGGAGGGGTCTTCCTGATGCGTCTCACAGGCCCAGCGTCTCCGCCTCTTTCCATGACACAGCCGGAGCTGCGCAATCAGGATATAAAGCGAATTCCGTTCCTCGGGGCCTCCAGGGAGGGCCAGGGCGGCTGGGGATGGCCCCCCACAGGGGTCGGGGATGACCCCTCACCCCGCACCCCCCCACCACCACGGGAAGCTCAGTTGGGAGACTCCTGCGTGTCCCGAGAGCTCCGTGGCTTCCTGGAAACTTGGTAGATGCCCCGTGGCCCCGTACCGGTGACACTTGACCAAGGCAGGGGCAGCAGCGGAGCCGCCACACTCCCTGGACTCAGGGCAGGGGGGTGGGGTGGGGGACAGAGAGGCGTCTTGGGTGCCCCCCTCCAAGCTCGAGGGGTCTCAACGGTGGAGAGCTCTGTTTAGCCAGTGGGAGAGGAGAAATAGGGTCTAGGGGGTGAGGGTGTGGGCTGCGGAGTCTCTCTCCAGCCCTTGGGAACCTTGGCCTCCATTTGCCCCATCTGTGAAGTGGGCATGAGAGACAGGACGAAGCAGCGAAGGAGGCCCCTCTCAGCACACGGCTCCAGGGGAGCCTTCCGTCCAGGGAGCTGATTTCTGGGGTGCATCTCTGTGCCGTGAGGGAAGCTTTGACGCTAACAGCCTTGGGGGGAAGCAACAGCCGCCCCTTCCTTTCACTGACGTTCCTGCTCAGGAAATGACCTCGACTGGTGGGGGAACTCAGACTTCAACTCTCTAGTCAAGGGCCCAGAGGTTTGATCAGGGGCGAAGGCACCTGATCTGCACGTAGCCCACCCAGGGATTACCCAGGTCTGACCTCCAGCACCTCATGTTCCTGCCCCCCCCCCCCCCCAAGCATCCCTGGGATCAGCGCTGGAGGCCTGGGTAATCCCTGACCCCACGTGTCCAAGCGGCCCCATCCTCAGGCCCAATCGGCTGAAAGTTGAGTCGCTGGAGGGTCCCCTGAGCTTGACTTGGGAGACCCTCCCCCAATATACAATGTTAGAGTTCAGAGTCACTCGGTTCCTGGTCATGGCAAGCGCGACAACCAAGCAAGGGGTCACGGGTCCATGTGTGTCCAGGCAGGGCTCCTCTTCCCCTTTTGTCGTTGCTGCCGTGTCCAAGGGTGGTGGCACGTGTTCACCGTGATGCCTGCAGCCCCCCGGAGATCACGCTTGGCATGTGGGGCGGGGCCTGGGATCCAACTCACGGTCCCACGGCTGCCAGGCAGGTGACCCAGCCCCGAGCCCTCCCTGCACGCCCAGGGGGAGGTTCCCCATCTCTCAGGCCGCGTCACCGAGCCCGTTGGACCCTTCTGAGAACCAGAGGATTATAAACGCGTGTTCTGCAATGTGTCAGTTGCAAATCAGAGAGAGAACAGCAGGTGAGGTGCCTGTTTTGCATGTGGCCCACCTGGGTTTAGTCTCTCTCTTCTCTCTCTCTCTCTCTCTCTTTTGGCTTCTTTTTGGGAGTCACACCCGGCAATGCTCGGCTTAGTCCTGGAACTGCACTCAGGAATGACTCCTGGTGGTGCTTGCTCGGGGGACCTTATGGGATGCCGGGGATTGAACCTGGGTTGGCCGTGTGCAAGGCAAACGCCTTCCCTGTTGTACTATCGCTCCTGCCCCACCTCTCCTGCCGAGTTCAGTCTCTGGCATCCCCGTAGGCTGCCCTGAGCCCTGCCAGGAGTGATCCCTGAGCACAGAACCAGGAGTCAGCCCTGAGCACAGCTACGACCCCTCACCCCCAGCCTCTCATCAAACAAATACACATAGATTGCATACACAAACAAAACTATTGCAGTGATTTGCAGTTGGCACAGTAGGTTGCCAGAGGTGGTATGGACAAACGTGCTGGGCTCTGGGAGCAATCTAAGAGGGGCTGCGGCTCAGATTTTGGGGGGACGCTCAAGGCGTGCAACCCAGGGGGAGCATGAAGGGTTTCCGTCTGGCTGCCGCCTCCAGAGCAGAGGGAAACGCTGATGTTCTGTCGGGATCCATGAGCACGAAGAGACACTGTTCCTTTTTGTTTTCATATTTTAAAAAAAATATTTTATTTTAGTGAATCATTGTGAGATACAGTTACAGACTTACAGATTTTCATGATTGCTGGAGTGATAGCACAGTGGGTAGGGCATTTGGCTTGCACGCGGCCAACCCGGTCGGCCCAGATTCGATTCCTCCGCCCCTCTTGGAGAGCCCGGCAAACTACCAGGAGTATCTCGCTCGCACGGCAAAGCCTGGCAAGCTCCCCGTGGAGTATTCGATATGCCAAACACGTCTCACAATGGAGACGTTACTGGGCCCGCTCGAGCAAATCGATGAACAACAGGAGGACATTGCTACGGTGCAGTGCTACGTTTCAATCAAACAATGTTCAGGCACCCATCCGTCCACTCTCCACTCCCCACTCTCCACCCCCAATGTTCCCAGTGTCCCTCCCACCACCCCAACCCCTTCCCACCCCCTGCCTCAGTGGCAGACACATTCTCTCTCTCTCTCTCTCTCTCTCTCTCTCTCTCTCTCTCCTTTTGGGTGTTATGGTTTGCAATACAGGTACTAAGTGGCCATCATGTTTGGTCCATAGCCTACTTTCAGCACACATCTCCCATCCCGAGCGAGCCCCCCAAGCATCATTGACTTAGTGGTCCCTTCTCCATCCCAGCTGCCTTTTCCCCCAGCACATGAGATCAGCTTTCAAGCCACGGGGCCACCCTCCTGGCCCTTATCTCCACCATCGCAGGCTCGCAGTCTATAAAATCAGTACCCAAATATCCATGGCGTCCCTATACACAAAAAATAGGAGAGAGAAGAAAGTGATATAAAACAGGCAATGGCGTTCACAATCATGCGTCAGAAAATCAAGCACCTCGGAATCAACTTAACCAAGGAGGTAACGGACCTGTACAAAGAGACGCTGTTCTTCTCATCCTATTATTTCTTTTATGTTATAATCTTGCTTGTTTCAAGGTGGTGCCCAGGGGCATGTCAGGCAGATGGCATTTTTTATTTCTTTTTCTTTTTCTTCTTTTCCTCTCCGACATACCCAGCCGAGCTCAGGGCCGCGAGCTCGCTGGATACTCCTTGAGGCTCCCAGGGCGGGGAACTGATGGAGTGTCTCTCCCGTCTTCTCTCCTTCAGCAAAGAGTACCCAGTGGTCCCCAGGAGCACCGTGCGGCAGAAGGTGGCCCCCAACCACAGCCCCTTCAGCAGCGAGCCCCGGGCGCTGTCCACCTCCTCCAACCTGGGGTCCCAGTACCAGTGTGAGAACGGCGTGTCGGGCCCGTCCCAGGAGCTGCTGTCCCCGCCCAACCCCTACCCGCTGGCCCAGGAGCACGGCCCCCTCTACCACTGCACCAAGCGGAAAGGTGAGTGTGACGCCCACGAGGCTCTCCTCCGTCTGCACTTCCTTTCCTGGGGGTGGGGGGAGAGTGGGTGAGGAAGACACACAACCCTGCGTGTTTATGTTCGAATGTGAGCTGTACTGAAGCCCGCAGAGGCTGGAACGGCTGTGATTAGTTCCCAGGAGCATTTGGAACTGGGTCCTCAGCAGGATTCTGGATGCCGCAGGGAGGAAGCAGAGAGAAAGATGTGTGTCTGAGGGCTGCCCTCGGCAATCTCGGCCCAGTCCCTTCCATCCTGTCAGCCTCATTCCCCAAACAGGAGAAGCTCAGGGCCCAAGAGGGCTGGTGTCTGGCGGGCGTGGTGCGGAGTCAGGGGTGGCCGCCACTAGTCACTTCCCGGGGTGCGTTATCTTTAGGGGGTTGATGGGTCTTGCAGCCATAGGTAGATGCCGGGAAAATCCCGGTGCCTGGATCTTCTTGGCTTTTGGGGTCTCACCTGGGGATGCTCAGGGCGTCCTCCTGGCTCTGCACTCAAGAATCACTCCTGCCGGTACTCAAGGGACCCTACAGGGATGCTGGGGATCGAACCTGGGTTGGCCGTGTGCAAGGCAAATGCCCTCTCTGCTGGACTATGCCTCTGCCCCAGGTTCTTAGGACCTTCCTAAGAACCAGAAGCTGGGGTGGGAGTAGGGATTTGCCTCGCATGCAGTCAATCTGGGTTCAGTCCCCGACGCCACATAAGGCGTCCCGTCTGGAGTGATCCCTGGGCCCGAGAGCTGGCACAGCGGGGAGGGCATTTGCCTTGTGTGCAGCCGACCCGGGTTCCATCCCCAGCACTCTGTAGGGTCTGTCCTGAGCACTGCCCGGAGTGATCCCTGAGCACAGAGCCAGGAGTCAGCCCTGAGCACTGTTGGGGGTGGCCCAAACTCCCACCCTCTCTACGCCCTAAAACAAAAAAGCAAACGAACCAAAAAAAAAAAAAAAGACCCAAGGGTTGGATCGATAGCACAGCAGGTAGGGTATTTGCCTTGCATGCAGCTGACCCAGGTTCGATTCTCAGCATCCCATAGGGTCCCCCGAGCACTGCCAGGAATAATCCCTGTGCATCGCCGGATGTGACCCAAAAAACAAATTAGAAAAAAAAAAGACCCGGAAGTTAAAGCCTAAGCCAAACCCTTTTCTCCAGGGCTGGCCGTGGGCAGGAAGAAAGACGGGGAGCTCATCCTGGCGCTTGGACGTCTGTCACCCTATCAGTGGGGAGGGGCGACCCAGGAGCTGTCCTAGGTGTTGGCAGTTCTGTGACTGCAGGGAGGGGGTCCCAAATGTCCCTGCAAGCTCCTTGTATTACCCAGGCCTGGGCGGTACGACACCAGCCGGTCCCTGGTCCCACCCCAGCGTACCAACTGTCAGATGGGCTGGAGACAGATGCTCTCAGGGTTCCCCAAAGTCCCCACGCGGAGATTCTGCCCCATGTGGCGGGGGCTGGAGCAATAGCACAGTGGTAGGGCGTTTGCCTTGCAAGTGACCAGCCCGGCCAGGCCGGGTTCGATTCCTCCGCCTCTCTTGTAGAGCCCGGCAAGCTACCGAGAGTATCTCGCCCGCACGGCAAAGCTTGGCAAGCTCCCCGTGGCGTATTCGATATGCCAAACACAGTAACAACAAATCTCACAATGGAGACATGACTGGGCCCACTCGAGCAAGTCGACGACAGTGCAGTGCAGTGGCAAACCCTGATCATAGACCCCCAAAGCTTGCAGGAACCGTATCAGCAGGTGACATCATGAACCCCCTTGACAAATGGGGAAACTGAGGCTCCCGATGGCCCTCAGGCCTGAACCCCAGTCTGGTCTGTGGACTTTGCCAGAAGCCCAAGCCCCTCTCTCTCTACCTTTAGCTTCGCTCTCTGGTCTTATTGCCGCCGCCTCCTCCTCCTCCCGGGAGGGGCCGTGGATGTGGCCGGAGCATCACCAGGTTTGAGTTAAGGAGTCAGTCCTGGGGGGAAATTAATACCAGACCCTGAGCCGGGAGGAGGAAGGGGAAGAGCATCGGGTGCTTGTTTGGGCTGGATGTTTACAACAGCATCTTGAAAGGGGCCTTCGAAGGGGGCAGTGGGCAGCGGCGGTGGGCAGGCATGCGTTCGGAGCACCCCCGAGTGGTGACACTTGCCTGTGTGGGGCCTGGGAAGGATCTCTGCTCTTTAGCCCCCTGGTATTATTTTTCCTGCAAACCGGGGTGAGCACGGACCCTCCGACGGGGCTTCGGAAGTGACGTGGGGTGACCTGGGCACCTGTGAGTGTTGTCTGGTCCTGAGACGGGCTTGGTGGATGGGGCAGAGGGGACCCCAGGGACGCGTCAGCCGTGGAGCATAGCACTGGCCTGGGGGAGAGGCCTGACGTCCACCATGTGCTGCTCCCCCACGTCCATGGCCTGGGCCCCCAGGCCAGCAGGGTGTGCTCGGTGAGAAGGGTCAGAGTGGAGTGAGTTTGGGGGAACGGTGCTGGGCTGAGCTCTGGGGGGCTCAGGGAGGCGAAAGCGGGTGAAGAGAAAGCAGGAAGATGGGGTCCTGCCCCCCGCGGGGTGTGTGCAGACAGGAGGGGCGACCTGTGGCCCTCGAGGCAGCCGATGGGATGGGGAGGCCCTGGATGGACAGGGGCCAGTGCCCTGGAGGAAGGGCAATGAGGGTGACCCGGCTACGGCCGGGATGGTGGTGTCTAGCCAGGGCATGGGGGCAAGGACGCAGAAGTACAGGGGTGACCCAGAGCAGTTGAGGGTGAAGGGCCCCCCTATTTCCATGGATACAGAGCGAGGCTCAGAGAGGCTGAGTCACTAGTCCAAAGCAACCAGCAGATGAGCAGGCCCCAACCTCTCCCTCCCTGAGGCCTGGGTGCCAGGGCACAGGGAGCACCTTGCGAGGCCCCTCCACTCCGCAGCTCGGGACAGAAGCGCCCGTCGCCGCCCGCCATGGCTGTGGGGGAGGAGAGAAGCCAAGATTTCCTTCTAGCGTGGGATTCCCGGGGCGTGATAAGTGGGTGCGGGGCCCCCCGTCCCCCTTTATCTGACTTCCCGTCATTGTCGCCACCCTGAAGCGAGGTGGGGGGACGCAGAGGGGGGTCCAGGGTGGGCAGGGCTGGGCTGCGTGTGGACCAGCCGCCTTCTGCCCCCGAGCTCCGAGCAGAAACCCAGCAGGCCCTTTGTCCGGGTCCTCCTGGGGGCTGGGCTCCCTTTCGCCTGCAGCCGCAGCTGCCCCCTGGGACACCAGGGAACCCCCAATGCAGCTGTGGAGAAGGGGAAGCGGGAAGGGAGAGGGCGGGAAGGGCTGGGAGGAGCCTCACCCCCACTCGGGGTCAGGCCAAGTCCCAAGGCTGTGTGGCAGGACAGGCAAGCTGGCAGGCCCGAGAGTCCTGACACCTGGGTGGGGTGCAGGGAGGAGGGAGAGCAGGTCATAGGGAGTAGGGAGAGCAGGTTATAGGGAGGAGGGACAGCATGGCACAGGGAGGAGGGAGAGTAGGTGCATGGAGGAGGGAGAGCAGAGCAGAAGGAGGAGGGAGAGTGGGTGCAGGGAGGAGGGAGAGGAGGGAGAGCAGGTTATAGGGAGGAGGGAGAAGCAGGGCACAGGGAGGAGGGAGAGCAGCTGCAGGGAGGAGGGAGAGTGGGTGCAGGGAGGAGGGAGAGCAGGGCACAGGGAGGAGGGAGAGCAGGGCACAGGGAGGAGGGAGAGCAGGGCACAGGGAGGAGGGAGAGCAGGGCACAGGGAGGAGGGAGAGCGGGGCACAGGGAGGAGGGAGAGCGGGGCACAGGGAGGAGGGAGAGCAGGGCACCGGGAGGAGAAAGAGTGGGTACAGGGAGGAGGGAGAGCGGGTGCAGGGAGGAGGGAGAGCAGGGCACAGGGAGGAGGGAGAGCAGGGCACAGGGAGGAGGGAGAGCAGGGCACCGGGAGGAGAAAGAGTGGGTACAGGGAGGAGGGAGAGCGGGTGCAGGGAGGAGGGAGAGCGGGGTGCTGTCTGCTCCCAGGAACTCCATGCCCCTGGGGGAAACAGACCCCGAGCAAGGGCCCTTTGGTGGGTCCCCACCAGTGGACGAGTGGGGGAGGACGTGGGGGACTTTGGATCCTTTTCTTTTGGGGTCGGGGGTGGGGATTGGGGGGCTGCACCACGTGCTCAGTTCTCACAGCTGGCAGTGCTCAGCGGCCCACAGTTGACCCCAGGGGCTGAACCAGGGTCAGCGGTGCCAAGGCCTTAGCCCTGCACGCCTCACGCCCTGATGTGGCAGTCCCCAGGGTCTGTCCTGCGTGCCCATTCTCGACCTTCCCCGGGGTGGGGGGGGGGAGTGCTGCCGGCCAGCCCCTCCCTCCCTCCTGCCCCCATCCGTGGCGAGGCTGCCCCTTTCTCGGATTCTGTGGCCTCGAGGGGTTCTTGTGAAGTGGACCGCGGGGGTGGGCTGTGCTGGGGGCCGCCGCTGACTGCCTGCGCCCTGCTCCACAGTGTCTCCTTCGGGTCTTGGTCAGGAAGACCCCACCGCGGTTTCTCGCTGGGGCCTTGAGGGCACCCAGTGGACTCTGGGGGCTGTGTGGGCAGGACCACCTTGATGCCCCGGCCTGTGGGAGACAGTATGGAACTCGCCCTATTGGTCCCAGAAGGACGCAGGGAGGGACCAGAGAGACGCAGTGGGCGACCACTTGTCAGGGGACCCGCCCTGGCGTATGGTCCCCTCCCCTGTGCCCAGCGGGAGCTATCCCTGAGCACCCCACCCCCCAACTAAGAAAGAAATGCAAGGGAGAAGAACGTGTCCTGACTTCAAGCCCAGAATCAGTGTCTCTCGGGGTCCCCTGGGTGTGTGCAACGCTTAGCGCACCCTTGCTGGGCCCCTGTGGGTTCTTCCCCACCCCCTTACTCACCCCTCGACTGTGGGCGTGCACGGGGCAGGAGAGGGATCTCGGCCGCTGGGTAGTCGTCCTGCCCCCCAGATCGGGAAGACCCCTGCCCTCCCCCAGAGCTAAGCCCAAAGCAGCCTGAGGTCCAGGGGGCGTTTCTCGCCCGAGTGTGTCCGGGTGGCAGGAATGTGGTGGGCTCCGGGCTTGCTTTCATCAGCCCCGCGGCCTGCACTCGCCCCTGCGCTCAGCACCACATCTTTGGGGCATGAAACGCTGGAATGTGCGATTTTACGATTTTCCCAAATGTGCTCGGGCCTTTTCCTATTATTCTTCCTTATTTCATTCTAACAAATCTGGAAAGAGATCAGAAACCCGGGAAGGGGTCGTTTGCTTTGTGTGGGCGTGTGTGCGTGTGTGCGTGTGTGTGTGTGTGTGTGTGTGTGTGTGTGTGTGTTGGGGTGTGTGCGCTGTTTTCTTTTTTTTTCTCTTGCCAAGGGTGCCCCACAGCTGTACTTTCTATTATTGAAAAAGGGGAAACGCCCTCTTGGAATTGGAAACCCCGAAGGTTACAATTCTAGCAACAGTGGAAACATTTGGGTTTATGGATTTGGGGGTGCAGGGCGGAGAAGGGGGGGAGGTGAGGAGCAGAGAAATGGCTGGTAGCTGTGTCATGAAGATGAAGAAAGGGGGGGAAAAAGAGGGAAAAGAGAGAGAAACAATTCCGGAGCGAGTGAAGAATGTGGCCCTAGGCTCGTGTGTCAGTGCTCAGCCATCTGGCGGGGCCAGGCACCTGGAGTGTGGCTGGGTTTCTTCCGTTGCTTGTTTGGGGGCTGGAGTTGGGTGTCAGATGGGACACAGATGGATGGACAAATGTGTTCTTGAGAGGCGGGCCTGTTCCTCGCTAGCGAGCTCGTCTGGGAGGGCTTGGGGAGTTCTTTTGTTTGTTCTAGCAACTGCCCAGGCACTGTTAGGGGCCACTCGGGGTATACCCAGCTATGCCTGAGGGACGAGGTGGGGCCAGGGATCGAACCCAGGCCCCGAGCACTGTCTCTGAGCCCTCCTGGGTCCCCGGGGGTGGGCACAGTGCACAGACCTGTCTCTCAGAGGCTCTCTCAGGGAACCCCCGGCCACCTCACAAGCCTGCCTGGCTGATGTTTCCCAAGCCGGGATTTGGGGGGGGGTGTCAAGTGAGGCTCCCCACCTCAGACTGCCCCCTAATCCCACAGCGACCGCGTAGGGGACCCCTTCGTCTCCAGCTCCCGTGTGGCCCCTGTGCCACTCCCCCCGTCCTGCGTGGCTGGTGGCCCCGTAAGCTCACCCTCGAGTGGCGTTTTCTTAGAAGGCGCTTGAGCAGAGGAGAGCAGGTTCCCGGCGGGGCCGCCATCTGGGGGGCTTCCTGGGGACCCAGGGCGACTCCCCATCCCACAGATATGCACGTGAGGCTCGCTGCTGTGTCTGAGCTGCCCCTCAGCAGGAGTGTGTGTGAGGCCCCACAGGGCTGTCCAGGGAGGCCTCTGCTGCTGGCCGGGGCTGTCGGACTGGGCGCTGGCCGCTGGGCTGGCATCAGTGGGCTGGAGAACGGTGAGTGAATGACTCAGATAATAATCACGAAACATCAGGGGGCTGGAGCAATAGCACAGCGGGTAGGGCGTTTGCCTTGCACGCAGCCGTCGAAGGTTCGATTCCCGGCATCCCATATGGTCCCTCGATCACCGCCAGGAGTAATTCCTGAGTGCAGAGCCAGAAGGAACCCCTGAGCATTGCCGGGCGTGACCCAAAAAGGAAAAAAAAATCACGAAACATCAGAAATGTCTGGAGGTTTCTTCTTGGTTGGGGGGGGGGCATGTTGGAGTGCTGGGGGCTGCTCCCAGCTCAGTGCTCAGGGACAGGCGTCCACCCAGGGTGTCCTGTGCTCAGCCCTTGAGCCCCCCGGCGGTGCTCTGTCTTGTGGCATTTTGGGAGTGCCACGTGTGCTTCCCTCCCCCAGATGAGGGGCCTGGGGCTCCCCCCGACACAGCTGCTCTGCCCACAGCTGTACCCCAGGGCTGGGCAGAGGCGGGGGTGTGTCCACAGGCTGAGAGTGTGATGCCAGTGTGGGCGGCGAGTCAGGCCCCATGCCTGAGCCAGTCTTGGTGCCCACAGCCCTGGCAGCCCGTCTCTGCCTCCGGGAGGCGGGAGGGAGGACAGCCGGGGAGCACCAGGCTGGAACTGTGTTTGGGGCTACCTGCCCCTCTCTCCCTCCTCCTTCCCCCACTGTTGAGGGGTGCAGCCCTTGGGAGCCAAGGTTTCCTCGTGGGGTCTCCTGGCCCGGGACTGACACTTCCTTTGGTCCTGGTTTCGGTTCAACCCATGCCCAGGGGCACAGACTCGGGGGTCGCTCGGTGCTGGGGGGGCGGTCCTGAATGTCCCCCTGTGCTCTGGCCCCAGACTTAGCTCACCCAGATTGAGTCCCAGGAGAGGGAGGAGGAGGAGGAGGAGGAGGAAGAGGAGGAGGAGGAGGAGGAGGAGGAGGAGGAGGAGGACGGTCACGCTCCAGGTTTGGGAGGAGGGATATTAAGATTCCAGCGAAGGGGCCCGAGTGATAGCACAGCAGGGAGGGTGTTTGCCTTGCATGACCTGGGTTCAATCCCCGGCATCCCATATAGTCCCTCAAGCACTGCCAGGAGCAATTCCTGAGTGCAGAGCCAGGAGTAACCCCTGAGCATCACCGGGTGTGACCCAAAAAGAAAAAAAAATTCCAGTGAAGGACGGGGTCTGGGTGGAGGCTGATTGAAGCCACTGTGGTGGGAATTCCCCAGCGCTGCTCCCTGGGGCACCCCCGAGATGGGTGTGTGTGGGAGGTGCTGGGGGCATCCCAGGCGGGGGGGCTCTGCTCAGCACAGCTCGAGCCCTGGGTCCGGCCACACCCGCCCTGTCTCCGGGGTGCTACCCTGGGGCCAGCTGCAGCCCCCGTTTTCTTGCCTCTAACAGGGGCAGAGAGTGGGAGCAAGCAGCCTCCCAGGCGGGGCTGACGAGGGCACAGGTGACGTGCTAGAACCGGATGCGGCGGGCAGTTCTCCTGGGCACGAGGATGATGCTTCTACGTGGCTGTGGCAGTCTGAGGGCCTTACACTGCAGTTTCCCCCCACCCCCCCCCACCCTGTGGCCCCCTTCACGGAGGGAAGAGAACTGAGCCTCTGGTCCTTTGTTTTTTTTAATTAATTGATTTATTTTTATTAGTGAGACACCATGAGGTACAGTTGTAGACTTACAAATTTTTGTGCTTGGGTTTCAGTTATACAGTGATCAAGTACCCATCCCTCCACCAGCGCCCATTTCCCACCACCATGGGTCCCAGCATCCCTCCCACCCCCTGTCCATCCCCCCATCCCACCCTGCCTCTGTGGCAGGGCATTCCCCCTTGTTCTCTCTCTCTTCTTTCGGGTACTGTGTTTTGCAAGAGAGGCCTTGAGTGGCAATCATGTTTGGTCTATAGACTACTTTCAGCATGCTTCTCCCACCTGGGAGGATCATCCCAACACCCTTTATTTGGTGCTCCCTTCTCTATCTGAGCTGCCTTTTCCCCTAGCACATGTGGCTGGCTGTTTTTGTTTTCTTACTTTTTGGCTTTTTGGGTCACACCCGGCCATGCTCAGGGGATACTCCTGGCTCTGCACTCAGGAATTCCTCCTGGCGGTGCTTGGGAGACCCTACGGGGTGCCCGGAATCGAACCCTCCCTTGGAAACAAACACCCTCCCCGCTGTGCTATCATCAGTCCGGCCCCAGCACCGGTTCTCTGGGTGAGCACCCGCACCCGCCTCCCCGGCAGGAACATGCTAGAACCCCACACCTTCCTCCTTCCCAGACACAGCGGTGCCTCTTCCCGGGGCGTGCCAGGGTCCCCGGCTGCACCCCTCCGCGCAGAGCCCCGTCCGTCCTCCACGCGCCTCGGGGCTCACGCTGTGTCCCGCCCTCCCCATCCCCGCAGATGACGAGTGTCCCCCCGGTGCCGACCACCCCTACAAGAAGCCCTACCTGGAGACGCCGCCCGGCGAGGAGGAGCCCTTCTACCGGGCCAGCTACGCCCCGCCGCAGGGCCTGGGCGCCGCGTACCGGACAGAGCAGGGCCAGCGGCAGGCCTGCATGTACGCCAGCGCCGCGCCGGCCGGCGAGCCCAGCCTGGAGGACATCAGCTGCAACACGTGGCCGGCCGTGCCGTCCTACAGCAGCTGCCCCGTGGCCGCCGTGCCGCCGCCCGTGGACCGGCTCCCCTACCAGCACTTCTCCGCCCACTTCTCCTCGGGGCCGCTGGTGCCCCGGCTGGCGGGCATGGCCAACCACGGCTCCCCGCAGCTGGCCGAGGGCATGTTCCCGCACCAGAGCCCCGTGCCGCACCCGCCCGTGGCCCCCCGGCCGTGCGGGCCGCAGACGGGCGTGCAGTCCCCGGGCGGGCTGCAGCCCTCCGAGTTCCTCTACCCGCACGGCGTGCCTCGGACCCTCTCGCCGCACCAGTACCACGCTGTGCACGGGGTGGGCATGGTGCCCGAGTGGGGGGAGAACAGCTAAAGGGGAGCCGCCCCCCGCCCACAGACCTTCGGGGGCGCTGGGGAGAGCCAGAGGGCAGGGGAGGGGGCACAGGAGCAGAGAGACCCCCCAGTCCTGCCACCCCCACCCCCCACCCCGGCCCCCGCCCACGTGTCTGTGACACTTCCCCGGCCGCTGATCTAATCAGTCGCTTGAAACCACGATTCGAAAAATGTGACTTTGAGGTGGCGTCTCAAAACTGAACCCCACGAACACGCTCCGGAGCTGAAGCCTGGCCCCCCTCTGCCCCCCACCTGCCCCCGTCCCAGCCCCGTGTCCCCCAGCCCGCCACTAAGCCCCCGACAGCCCTACATCAGCTCGGCAAAAATGACTCGCCAGGGGCCAGGTTCCAGCCTCCAGCCCGCCCTGGCCCTTCCCCGTCCGTCGTTCGGTGTCTTGGCTGACGTTGTTATATAATAAATGATAATATATTTTTTCTTTTCCATCTTTTCCCCATCCCGAAGGGACCCAGTCCCTCCCTCGGGCCAGGGAGGCGGGGGAAGGACAGAGGCAAGTCTGTGGCCACCGTGTGCTGGTGTGGTGTCACCCCCCCACCTCCCCACCCCCCAAAGCCCAATTTGCTGGTTCTACCTCGGCCCCCGCGGTCTTGGGACAGAGTGTCCGCGGCCGTCTGATTCCGGGCTCCTGCAGGATAACCCGGACTCCGTCTGGTCTGTGATCTGCGCCCTCCCATCTTCCCAGCCCCGGGTCTGTCCAGCCGACGGCCACGGAAACATGCCCTATGGCCTCCCCAGCGGAAGGCTGGCTTTGAAAACTTAAAAAGCCCTAGTGGACATGCACGGCCGGTGATAAGCCAGGAGCAAGCTCTGTGCTGACAAGAGTCCGGCAAACGCCAAAATAAATATTCTTCCTGATAAAACACAAAGGGAAGCCTGAACGGCCCCACCACCCGGCCCTGAGCCCGTGTGCAGGCCCCGCCCGCCCGAGGTCTCGCTCTTCCTCCGCCGCCGACGCCAACCGACGCCGCCACCACCGAGGTCTCACACACGCGTCCAACGGTGGATCATTGAAAGCAGAAAACAGAATTGAAAAAAAAAAAAAAACCAGTGTAAGTAAGACGTTGCTGCAGGGTTCTTCAGATGTAATATTTTCCTGGTACTATTTATTTATAAATAGGAGTTCTAATTAAGTAATAACGTGAAAGGGACCCAGCCAACGGGCTGGCCAAGAGCGTTTAATTTTATTGATCAGCGGAAACCCAGTGTGAGTGTTGTTCTCTCTTCGCCTCTCGAATGTGCTTTGCTTTCTTGAAATAAAAACAAGACGAACCTTTTTTTTTCCCCCTCTCTTTGCAACAACGCCTCCTTCTCCAGAAAGGCGCAGGGCGCTGTTGAGGCCCATGGGCCAGGCCTGCGTCTTCGTGCCCGGGGGAGGCAGGACTCAGTACTCGTCTGTTTGTGCCAGTTAATGCCTAATAAATACCATGTGCTGAAGAAGGTCCGAGGGGGCTGCGGCCCCCTTTCTCCCTGTTCTTTTTCCAGACTTCAGAGACGGGGGGGACAAGGGGACGGGAAGGAAGTTGCTTTGTCCCTGAGTCTTCTAGGGTCCCCTGGGAACTCGGGGTCGGGAAGGAAGTTGCTTTGTCCCTGAGTCTTCTAGGCTCCCCTGGGAACTTGGGGTCACACCGCCAGTGCTGGGGGGGTGGCGTGTTGGTGCCAGGGATAAAACCCAGCCAGGATTTGCACGGGGACACTGCCAGCCGGCGCCCCCGGCCCCAGCCCAGAGGTGGGAGAAGCCCCTTCTCTCAATCTGGCCAGCACGGCGCCCTTCAGCTCAGGGGTGGGGTCTCTCCCAGGATGGGGGGGCCTGCAGGCATGAGGAACGGTGGGGTGGAGGTGCGGTCGTACCCCCAGGACGGTGCCCACCAGTATGTCCTAGTGGGTCAGCAAGTTCCCAGGGGTGCGCCAGAAGGGTCCAGACTGGGGTTCTCATCAGGTGACCCCTCTGTCCCCTGGGGGAGGCTGGACCCCTCCTGGCCTAGCTCTGATTTCAGACACAGTGGAGGGGGTGGGGCTGGCTCTGCATCCCGCAGATCTCTCAGGGACCCCCAGGTCCCCCTCGCATACATGGACAGTCCACTTTCCCCTGGAGGAGAATCGCCTCCGCATCGTCTTGGCCCGGTGTCTCCCTTTGTCCACGAGCCTGGCATCGGCCAGGCCTGCCCACACCCACGCTGGAGTATCTCTCTCGGGTTGTGGGCACAGGTGCCCCATAAACAGCCGCCCGCAGTGCCCCTCCCGCCAGGTTCCACAGGCCTCGGTGGTTCCCCGCGGAGGGTTTGGCTCCGGGGACAGTGGGGCCTGGGCCTGGCGGACAAGAGGGGGGTCAGGAGGAAGGACAGCTGCTGCCTTCTTGGCCCTCTGGGGACGCCACGGGGAGGCCGGGTGCAGGGGCCCCCGGAGAGCCGGCCACACCAGCCCTCACGGCCCAGAGCTGCCCCTGCGCCCAGGAGGCCGGAAGGGAACCTTAGACCAGGGGATGGGGGGCAGAAGCGCTGCTTCCGAGAGAGCATTTATCCCCCCAGTCAAGGCTGGGGGCCATGTGCTTGCAAGAACAGGCTGTCCCCTCCCTGCACTGCCCCAGAGGGGCCCCAGAAGGGAGGACACAGGAGGTGGAAGTGGCTCATGTTCGCTCAGGCCAGTCCTAGCCACATTCCCTTCTGGCTCCTTCTACCCAGTTACCGGAAATTGTCCTAGATCCGATCCCTTGGGCTCCTCCCTCTCTGCGTGCTCCCATCAGAGCCCGGTATGACCTTCAAGGCTCCTGGTTCACCCAGGAAGTCTAGCCCAAAGGGGGCTAGACTGTAGGTGGTTGTGCAGTGCACAACCTGCCCAACTGCTCACGGCAGCCCCGTTCCAGAGATCCTTTCCACACTGCCTTTTCTTCAAGCCGTCCGCCGGCTAATAAAAAGCTAGGAGATGGGAATCACTTAGGGTGGTTCTGTGACGGCTCTCTTCAGATAAGCAAGTGTCTAAAGCGTAGCCCTGAGATGCTAGCAGTAGAGTTGGATCCTCCTGCATTCAATTCAGGCACTGTCCGGGTTCCAGTTCAGCCCTCAGAGAAGAATTCAAAGGAGCAAAACTCAGCAAGCCAGGGAAGCCAGGGGCCAAAGACGTGAGGGATTTCGTTTCCTGGGCACCAATTGGATTCAGGTGTAAACCATATTTTTTCCTGTTGCTTCTATGCAGTTGGAATAAATCAGCCAATCGGGGGTCCAGCCATGGTTTTTTTTGTTTTTGATTTTTTGGGTCACACCCGGCATTGCACAGGGGCTACTCCTCGCTCATGCACTCAGGAATTACTCCTGGTGGTGCTCGGGGGACCATATGGGATGCTGGGAATTGAACCCGGGTCAGCCGCGTGCAAGGCAAATGCCGTCCCTGCTGTGCTATCGCTCCAGACCCTCCAACCATGGGTTGCCGCCTTTCTCAGCTGATCTACCTGTTTCCTTTCCCCGAAAAAAGGCAGAGAGCGTGAAAAACCCCAGAAAAGCCCTTACACAGCTCTGATTTCTGAAACATAAAAGCTATTCTTTTAGAGTAAATCCACCCCCCCCCCCGTGGCATTAAGGATAGAGAAATTCCTAGGAAAATAATTTGTCAAGTTCTGACTGATCAAAGATACGTACGAAAGGCCCCTCTTTCCCCCCCCTCCTCCCCCAGGAAAAAAACAGGCTCCCTCGCAACTCAGAATGAATCGGCAATTCATTTGCTGACTGTCAGGTAAAGTAGCACAAAACCTATCACATCTTTAACTGGGACAGGGCCAGAAGGAAGCAATTCCGTGCCCAGCGAGCACACAGGCTGGGGGTATGTTAGTGATTAAGGCCGCCTGGCCCGGGGGAGGTAAAGCATTATGACTCAGATTCGCAAATGCTCCATAAATCTCGCTCTTTTATTCAGAATGTGTGTTTTATAGTCGTTTCCTGGCCAATTGCTGCCTTGGATGAATATAGAACATATCTGGACTTGGCTTTTGGGCCCCGAGCTGGGGTTTCTCTCTGGGACCAAGGATTCTGGATATTTCCAAGAGCTCCCAAGAAGCAAACCATACCCCGGCTTTCTCTTCCGGCCCGCAGAGCGTGTCCTCCTTGGAAACCCCAAAGAGTGGTCGGTGTTGAGCAGGGAAAGCAGCCCCCCGCCCACAGAGCCAGTTCCTGATCTTCTGCATGCTGGTTCCGTCTCCCCAAAACCCCTTTTTCTCAAACCCTCCCCAAACCGCGCCCCGAGGCCGGCCTCCGGGGTCCTTTGGCCACAATTCAGGGGTGAGGCCCAATATCAGCTCTGAGGATGGAGGGTTTTGTCAAGAAGTTTTTAGGCTCCCGTTTGTTCCCGCCTCCCTGAGACCCCAAATTCCATGGCCCTGCCTGGGAGCGGCCACTTCCCGGCGGGACAGGGAGTGGGCGGGGGTGCTTCCGCCTCTTCTTCCTCTTTGCCGTCAGCTCTCAGTAGAGTTTGCTGTTCAAGCCCAGCTGCGCTCAGCACTTCCTCCTCTCTGTGTGCTCAGGGGCCACTCCCGGCAGGACTCGGGAGACCCTCGGGGAGGCCGGGGATCGAACCCGGGTCAGCCACGTCCACGGCCCGGCCTCTGCTCTATTTCTCCAGCTCCCGGCTAAGCCACCAGTAGGCTTGCTTTGGAACTTTCTAGAAGGCAAGACTGAAAGCAAAGGAGGCCGACTCAATTACAGGGTAGGCAACATGACCCTACAGGTATGTGGGGGGGGGGGGCTGGACTGTCAACCCACATCACGGGGTGAGAGCGCAGTGGAGGTGATCTGGGCCTCAGTTTCCCTGTGACAGTGGGCACCGGCGCAGCCCCGCAACACGCATCCCTGCGGAGCTGAAACCAGGCACATCCCTAGGATGCCAAGAGTCCCTGGCCACTGTGCCAGCCTCGGTTCCCTGGGCAGGATTCTCCAGGGTCAGGGCACTCAGGGCCCAGCCGCGAGACCCCCATTCCTG